TCTATCTATCTATCTATCTATCTATCTATCTATCTATCTATCTATCTATGTATCTATCTATCTATCTATCTACATATTTATTAAGGTTTGTCATATTTTGTACTTCCCTTCACATTTTTTTTATGTTTATTTGATATCATTTTTCATTTTTTATTTTCCCATTTATATCATTTTTAAATTATTTTAATAACTGTATTAATTGTATGTGTTTTTCATTTGACCATTTGAAATGTGATGAATTATTTACTTTTTTAGGGTTTTTAATATTTAGTGTTTCCCTTCACTTCCCTCAAGTTGTCATGTTTGTCACAACTTGTGATTCTGAAGGCTTGGGAAACCATCTGTTAGTATTTTCCCTCCAAACACACAATCGTGTAATGAGCTCTTGCAGATGATCCATCAATTTAAGCTCTGTCCGTTCTTCTGTGTCTCAGATGAGGACCTCAATGGTGGTGATGTTTTGGAAGACATTATCTATCACAACGCAAAGTCTCACCACTTGTTGTCATGGTCAGAACGAACGAGTGAAGGTTCGCCAGACCTGGCGGCTCAGATATCCGAACACCAGAATGAGCAAGAGGAGGAGGAGGAACACAACCAGGACTTTGAAGACAAAAACCAAGAAGAGATCAGAGCCAGTTATCACCTGTCTCCAGACACAGAGGCAGATGAAGAAGAATGGAGCGCTCCTCCGTCCCTAACGAAGGTCAACGGGATCCATCACAGCCCCAGTCCACCTGCAGACGATGCTCTTATGAAGAGACTCCGGATTGGACAGCAGCTGCACGAAGACGCTCTTTCTGCTTACATGAACAGAAACAGTGCAGGGACCTTTACGGAGGAGTATGGCTCTGCAAGAGAGTTCAGCGACAGTGAGGAGGAGCTCCAGACGCCCAGGATGGAGGAGCGAGGAGGTGTTTGGGGTCCAGGTCTGGTGGCCAGACGTCTGGAGCTGGACAGGGCCCGCCTGAACCTCAGTCTTCTAGAGCAGGCCATGGTGCTGCAGTCTGAACATAGACAGGTCCTCCACAGTGCCTACAAAGACATGGACCGCTTCTTCCTGGAGCAGATGAACCACGAACGGAGACAGCAGAGGATGCTGGAGATAGACGCTCGAGCCATGTACCACAGCAGCAAAGGTGAGATTCACCAGAGCTTCATCACATTTTCACTGATTTTTAATAGTTTGAATTCTGCAAAAAATTCTGGTTCCTCAATGGTTTCATTTACAATTCTTTTAGTACTAAGGGAATGAATATTTGGAATAAAGAAGTACAATTTGCAAATGATGGAATGATTCCAATAATAAATACTTTTAAAACAATTCTTGCAAAAGATGTGTTTGAATAGACTTTTAATTAGACTTTAAAGAGGCATAAATAAAGTCTAAAGTCTAATGAAGGCAATCCAAAAATAGTCCAACAATGCTAAACAAACAAAGAAAATTTGGTAATGTATTTCATTCATTAACTTCATTTAGGTATCTTTAAATACATGTTATCATATGATCAACCAATCAGTAATTCACAGTTAGTTCTATGTGTTTGATTCACTAAAAAGAACTAGAGTCATTTGTTTGCGAATCACAGTGGTTGCACTGCATGCTTTTGGTTCACTAAAATGAACAGACTCATTTGATCAGAAGTCGGCCAACGCTGGTCGCACAGTAAGTGTTTGATTCATTGAAATGAACTAGAGTCGTTTGTTTGCGAATCGCACTACAGTGGTTGTACTGTATGCATTTGATTCACTAAAAAGACAGGAGTTGGACTACGCTGGGCGCGCTGTTTGTGTTTGATTCACTAAAAAGAACCGGCTCATTAGAGTCATTCATTCTGGAATTGAACTACACTGGTCGCGCTGTATGTTTCTGATTCGTTAAAAAGAACCGACTCAAGAGTTATCTATTCAGCGGTCAGACTTGTTGCTCTGTACGTGTTTCTGATTCACTTGTAAATGGCTCATTAAGCCCAAAGTATACTTACTTTTTGTACGCATATGCTAGCGTACATTCGAACGCATAGCCTTTCAAAGTGTACTCCATTTGACACAAGCAGTCGACACATGCGCTCTTGAAAGCTTCATTCATGTCCAGTTGTCTGCTCTATTTTCTCCATAAATTATGACTAATAACAAATATTTATGAACTCTTTTAAACCAAAAGCTGGGCTATCCCTACCCTCTCGCTTGGCTTGTAAATGCAGCCATCTATTGTTGTTGCAGTCTCTTTCTACTTTGAAACAACGGCCTGGGCCAGTGTTTCCACCTTGTGGAACAACTGATTACTACAAAACAAATTCAATGCGCAAGTGTGACCTGCGCGTACAAAGTACGTGTGGTTACATAAATTGCGTAGTGCGCGTACAGTAGTAACAGTACGTATCCCTCGCGTACACGTAAAAAGTGAAGTATACACTCGACATTAGAGTGATTCAGTTGGATGTTACTGGTTGCGCGGTATATGTTTCTTATTCGCTAAAAAGAACTGGCTCATTTGGTAGTCAGATGTCACTAGTTGCACTGTATATGTTTTGGATTCGCTAAAAAGAACTGGCTAAGATTAATTCGGTGGTAGGACTGAACTAGTCGCGCTGTATAGCCTATATTTCTGGAAAAAAAAATAGTTGCGCTGTATGTTTAGTAGTAGCAGTCTTTTGGTGCCGTATAGTAGGCTTTAAGTATATTGCGCGATATTTCGTCCACATTGGCGATGCAGTGTTTCACTAATTCACTAAGAACCTCAAATATGCGGGAAAAATATGTAATTTCTTGTTGCTTGTTAAGTAATGTAATTTACACTATTAATGCTAATCGTAAATTCATATTCATTTACTCCAAAAGAAACTACTCTGTCGTATTGAAAACCCCTTCATTTCTTTGACAACACTTTACTATAAGGTTCCATTTGTTAACATTAGCTAACTACATTAGTAATCCTACCATAAACTAACAATGAACAGTATTTTTATTAATTAACATTAACAAAGTGTAATAAACACTGCAACAAATGTGTAGCTCATTGTTAGGTAATGTTAGTTAATACATTAACAAATGGGATCTCATTGTAAAGTGGTACCATTTCTTGTTGTATTTGGTCTGTAAAAACTTTAGATTTATATGTGTTGGTGGTGTGTTTTATATTATATGCATTTTCACAATAAGACTGGAATGTTGCAGTATCAACACATACAAAGAAAGAGACATAGAGAGATTCTAGCCCAGAGGGATAGATAAATAAAATCCTCTCAAGTGCTAAAAACATTTTACCAACAAAATATTTAATGGTAAATAACCAACATGTTTTATGGGGGGGGGGATTACAAGTACAAGAAGAAAATCTTCTGATGACATCTCTGTAACATGAAACGCTGGATTTTTATCGGTATCAGCCAGATATTTTACCATGAGCATAAATTAAGTCATAAATCCTAGTAAAGTATCTCTGATGTGAGCTTTAAGCACTTTGATTCTTGCGATGGCTGCTGTTTAATGGGTAATCTCTGAAGATAATCTCTCTATGGATCAGCGCTAAGAAACCAGTGCCCTGAGTTAAGACTGCAGCCTTAACTACACTCTAAAAAATGCTGGGTTAAATACAACCCAGTGCTAGTAACCCAACCGCTGGGTCAAAACAACCCAATTGCTGGGTTTGTCCCTATTTTACCCAGCACTGGGTTGTATTTAACCCAGCGCTTTTTAGAGTGTAATGTCACGGATGAATACATACACACCCAACATGCTTTCACAGGATGCGCTTCAGCTTACATAGAGAAACCAGACTGGATGGGATTAACTGTAACTATATGTTCTTCAAGAGCACTGTTTTACTGTTTGTTTGTTTGTTTGTGTGTGTGTGTGTGTGTATATGTGTGTCATAGATTCCCCCCGGACAGAAAAGAAAGACATCAAATGTCCGACCCCGGGCTGTGATGGGATGGGTCATGTGACAGGCCTCTACCCTCATCACCGGAGTCTATCAGGATGTCCCCACAAAGTCAGAGTGCCCCCAGAGAGTGAGTCTGTTCTCGTGTTACGCATCACTTCCTGAGGACATTAGACACATTTCCTCCCTTCACAGCAGTACAATACAAACAGAACAAATACAATTAGTGATAACAACACTGTGATCATTTTCAGCCCATAAATATTCATGCCATACTAATGATCAAGGTTTAGTTGTACAGATACCGAGGGACAAAAGATTATATGGCGATTGCTTAACTAACCAGGCTCTATTATGTTCAGAACATTTCTGCATCGAGACATAACATGAAGTGTATCAGTTTAAATGTATGCTACAAAAATATCTAATAGTTAATAAAAAAAATAAATAAAAAAAAATTCTATCTCTTTATCTATTCCTTCTCTTTCTAGCGTGTACTTATTTGAACAATGTCTAAAAACTTGGTATTACAAGCACTTCCTGTATCTGTTTGCCTCTTTTAAGAAGAATCGCTTTATGTATCCCCAAACTGTAAGTCGCTTTGGATAAAAGCGTCTGCTAAATGTCTAAATGTAAATGTAAATGTAATAGTTATTTTTTTCTGTGATAGAAAATGCAAGATTCTTCCCTTTTATAGAACATTTTTAAATATATATTCTAGTTTTAAAGGATGTATTATTTAAGCTTGAACTTTATTTTTAAATTCAATTTTTATTCAAATTTTTTTCCTAAATTTTAAGAGTGATGAAGTGCTACATTTGCCAAAAAAAAAACTTTAATGATTTTTTTTTATATTAACATGAACAAAAATGTTTCAGTATTACTCTAAATTACGCAGAATTTGAGCCAGACTTTATATTTTAATGTAACAATAAATTTATAAAAAAGGTTAAAAATTCAGGAAAATTACACCTTACTTAAAATACATCATATTTATTTGGTATTAATAAATGCAATTAGTAATTATTATCATTTTTTACACATATATTTTAAAGAAAATAATTAGGTAAAAAAAAAAGTTTATATCTGGTTATGATGTCATTAATTTAGACATTTTTTACATTATGATATGAAATTATCTTTATTACCAAACTGGTCACTGGTCCCTTTTTTTATTACTAAACTTGTCACTATTTGAGCATTTTAATTCAGAAGCAATCCGTCTCTTTTTATTTTTGTAAGTTCAAAGCTAATTGCTACATTTTCCTCCAAAAAGTTAAAAATTACCTTTGTTTATTACAGGAGATGTGATAAATATTTTAAAAAAATATATATGATAAACATAGACTAAACATAATTTGAAATGTCATTTTTCAAGATTTCAATTAGCTAAAAGTGCCTCTAATTTAAAAAAAATCACAGATATGAAGTATGTAATATGTAATTTGCATGTTAATTATCTATTTACCTCTTATCTTGAGCCTTCCAGTAGAAACCACTTAATGTTGCACCAAGCTGAAAGTAAAAAAAAAAAAAAAAATTTTTTTTTTTTTTTTCCCCAAAGAAAGTTTTTAGTCATCAACACAAGTGAGGTTTGATTTCCTGCGGTAGGAAAATTAAAAATGCATTTTGGAAACAACTTTTCACTTGCTGTTTTCTCCATTTGAGAGTAGCACAACAAACATTCGCCATTAAACAGTGATGTGACAAAAGGAACAGAAAATGTAATTAAGTTTTTTTCCTTTTTTTCCCTCCAATATGAAAGCATGTACTCCTAAACCAGAGGCAGCATTCTGCGAATCAAAGGACCTGCGGATGCAGCCGAAATAGACAGGCACATCCTCCAAACTAATTATGAACAGACTAAAAAAAGTTACTAAGGATAGGACTTCAACAATATGTGTGTGTCTCTTAAATGGTAATCAAAATGCATTTGTAGTCATGATGTTTTTGCATGTCCATATTTGAAGCGAGACCCCAATTTTAAGTTGCAAAGAATGGCATGGGAAACTTTATTTAGCATGAAAAGTTGAATTCCACTAAATGCTGAATTACTGTTTATTCAATAAAATGTCCATTCTTACTATACAATTGTTCTCTTGATAAACATTATTCTGTTGTTTCTTACAGTCCTTGCCATGCACGAAAACGTCCTCAAGTGTCCGACCCCTGGCTGTACAGGAAGAGGTCATGTCAACAGTAACCGTAGCACACATAGAAGGTCAGCACAGTGAAAACAGCTTGATTATACAAGTGATGTTTTAGTATCTTTAAGATACAGTGAGAGTTTTTATTAATACTGTGAATTAGTATTTATTTTTATATTTACTTTTTTTATTTTTATTTAAAGCTTTGGTGATTTTGTTGTGTTTTTGTCTTTTTATTTATTTATTTTTTATATGTCTATATAGTTTTTTTTTTTTATATATATATTTTTTTTTTTTATTCCATGGCAGAAATTAGCTTCCACTGTTTTTATTATTATTATTTTATTTATTTATATGTGTATTTATTTATTTATTATTTTTTCAGTTTTAGTACATTAAGTTGCACTAAATTAAAATGAGAAATGTCACCTTGGTTGAACTGGCTGATTTTTTTTTTTTTTAACTATATAGTAATTTTTTTAAATATTTTATTTCAGTTAAAGTTGATTTTATTTCAAGTAACAAAAGGTTTTACTCAGCATTCAGTTATACTCAAATTACACTATTAATTTCTTTGCAATCCTTCTTGCTCATTGTAAGCAGATTTGCATAGATATTTAGTCGTGGGGGGAAATGAAATGAGTGGTTTATAATAACATTACCACTTGACTACATCCAGAATTTGACCCAAAGAAAATGCAGTGTTACTCTATTTTGCACGGTTGCACTGACTTAAACCACCTTAAAGCATCAGAAACATTAATTTACCCCAAAAAGAGATGCGCTTGCAATGAAACCTGGATATTTACTTAAAAAGAATCATGAAGTTTCGCTCTATCAGGAAAAATCCAATGACACTTAAACTAGACTATAAAACACTGTGATGTTTATTGCATAGAAGCTATTGGATTCTTTTTAATTGTACAATTACTTCAGTGCACCCGAATTCAATTCAAATAAAGTTAACAACCCAGAAGAGACTAACTTCTGATGTCTGTTTTCACAGTCTCTCAGGCTGCCCGATAGCTGCTGCAGAGAAGATCTCCAAACCGCAGGAGGATCCTGCAAATTGCAGACAGGCGGCAGAGAGGATGACGAGGTAAGAAACCTTCATCCAGGAGCAGCTCTTATACTTTATATATTCCTTTACAATCAAGCAAGCTGAAAATAAGTTCACAAGTATTCTTTCTGAAAGATAATAATAGGCATCTCACCTGTTCATTCTTTCGGAGCTTTAAATGATATAATTAAATCTAATTTGTTGGGGAATGATTTATTAAAGTGTGTGATTTCTTATGATAAAGAATAAGCAGCAACACAAACATGTTTTCAAAACATTAGTGTATTAGTGTATTCTGAAGTCCCAGTGTTTTCTTTTTCTCTCTTTAGACCTTTAGGAAACATGAAGAAATTTGACTTCACGTACAGATTTGCACATCCTATGGCAGCGTTGCAGGCCAGCATGGCCAAAGACATGGACAAGTACACTAAAGGCCATTTCGACTACGCCAGTTTTGACGCCCAGGTCTTTGGCAAGCAGGCTCAGATGGCATCCGACCAGAGTCACGAATCTTCACACTTTCCTGACTGTGAGTGTCTATTCTGTTTCAAATCAAAGGTTACCCAGCATGCACTGACATTACTGTTTATAAAAAGAAGTTGTTTTCAGTGTCATCATGTGTGACTTAGTGCATGTACATGTACAGTCATTTGTTTGTGCCATACAATCTGCTCTGTTCAGTCTATATCAAGCACCCTGATTTGGGCCAATAATCAATCACCTAGAACGCCCTAGCAACCACATAACAATGCTGAAAACACTCGGAACATCTTGGCAATTGCGTAGCAACACCCTGGCTTCATTTGCATGTGAAAACACCATTCAATAAAATAAAAATGTATAGCTAGTAAACAGAATATATATAATAAAATATTTTATTATATATATATATATATATATATACAGTATATATATGACATTATAATTATATAAAAAATTATTATATATAAATATATAATTAATATAAAATGTAAATATGTAAGTAATACATACTATATAATGTATAATGTTACATTTTCTTATGAATTTAATTACATAATGTATGAAATACATAATAATTAATTATTCATATTTACTTATACATTATTCAAATTATACATGTATATGATAAATTAATCTATAAAATCTATAATAAAAATTGTAATGTATATAAATAATATTAATAATGATTTTATTTATAGCGAGAGAGAGAGTGAGCGCAAGACAGATTTAAATTGATCTTTTTGTATAACTAATTGTTCAAATACAGTGTAGTAAGCCATTTGTAGATAAATTGAATAATAACATATATGTGTTTGTGTGTGTGTGTGTGTGTAACTGAATGATAAATACAAATGTGTAATAATATTGCTTATTAATAATACATTCAGTATAATACTTTTTAAACCTTCCTTCTACATAGATGTGAGTTTGTAGTTCCTCTCTGCATAATATGATCAGTTACGATCTCTCCCTCTCTCTCTCAATTCCACTTTTTCTGAGTACTAACTATTCCCACCGTTTCCAGCCGCTCAGTTCCCCTGTTTTCTGGGTTCTGGTGGTCGTATGATCATGGCCGGAGACAACAGCCCCAGTCGCCATAAAGCTCAAAGCAACGCCCTCCAGTCCAGCATCGCATCCGCAGCCATCCTCAACCTCTCCACCCGTTGCCGAGACAACGGCGAGGCCCTGCCCCCCAGCCGGCCCCTGGCATCATCCACAAAGGTAATCAAATTAGACCACTCAGAAAAAGGTATTTAATGTGGTCATTCTGAAACAACTGTGATTTGTGTATGAAAAAGAGGAGTAACATCAAAAGACACTTTTTGGCACAGAGAACTGTGTTGCCTCTGGTGGCACAACAAGAGAGTGGGAGCTTTTTTTCTTTTACCCACACTGGCCCTAAAGCTTTAATGTACACAAAGGAGAATTTGTGTAATCACATCAAAAAAAGTTGGGAGGAATACAATCATAGCTTCCTTCTCTATGACAATTATAAGGCTTTTTGTAAAACATGTGGCCGTGCATTTGATTTCTGCTTGTGCTAATGGTAATGTTGGGTCTTTCTCTTGTTTGCAGGAGAGAGTGTGGTTTTTTGTTGTTTTTTTCAGTGCAGATGGTCGAAGATATTTTGCTAAGTAATATATTATCCTAGATAAGCTCACACAGATCCTTTGGCGTTGATCTCTAACAGACGATCTATGAGAAGTTGGATTAAATCAATTGGTCAGGGGATTAATAGACATCACTCTTTTATTTCAATTAAATAAGGAAAGTCTACACAGGCCCTCAGATCATGTATGTTACAGTGTGAAAATTGATATGTGATGTTATGATAGAGTTGTGTTCTTTTATTTAAGCCCTGTTTTTAATAGAAAAACAAAATATTGATACGCAAATATTGATATAAGTAAAGATGGAAAACATGAACATATAGGCATATATGCAAATAGTGAAAGCGTGTTCGAGTCCAGCTTACGACATTTCCTGTATTTTTCTTTTCTCACAGACAAACGTGGAATAATGCCAACAAAGTGAGCTATTATAATCATAAATATGAAGTTTTCTGGCTTTATGCATTCCTGAAACTATACAACCTTGTAATTAAAAATAAGCACTTGAAATTTAACGCAATTTAATCAAAATGCATAATAAAATTTAATTAAAAAAACCACAATAAAAACAATACAGGATCCTAATGCTGTGTATTTTAGTAATAATTAGAAAAATAACATACAGTTTGATCCATTCAGTTTGATACCTACGATGTACAGTATATTTTTTATATATCCAGCCTCTTTTTTAATAGAAAAACAAACTGTTGATACACATACATTAATAAAAATGCAAAGAAAAAAAAAAGAACTATCAAAAATGAATTAAAAAGCATGCCGGAGTCATGGCCCCTTTTCCAGCCAAAAGTTGTAAAGTGGCGCAAAAAAAAAAAAGAGCTATTAAATATAAATATGATATAAGAATAAAAGTCTTCTGGCTTTATGCAAAATATTTTTATTTTAAAAATTGTTAATAAAATCATTTTATTTATTAAGAACATTTACATAGGAATATATTTACATTATATATGTATGTTATATTTACATTAAATATATATTTACGTATATACATATTGTGTAATTTAATGTAATTAATGTGAATAATGTAAACTTTTCTTATGTGCTAACATAATTAAAACAACAAAAATGTATTAAAAAGCATGCTGGAGTCATGGCCTAGTGATTATTGCATAAGGGCAAAGCAAGTTCGAATCCTGCGTGCAACATTTTCTGTATTATTTCTTCTTTTCTCTCAGAAAAAAAATGGAAATGTGCCAATAAATTGTGCTATTAAATATTCAATCTAAATATAATATATATTTTTATATATGTGTAAAACTATAAAAAACTTTTTCATTAAAATAATTATTTATTTATATATATATATATATATATATATATATATATATATATACACACACACACAGACACACACACACACACACTTGTGAAAAATAATGTAATTAATGTGATTTAACTTTCTTATATTATGCTAAAATAATAAAAACAGAAAACAGCAATCCTAATACTGTAGATTTTAGTCAAATTTAGAACCATCCAGTTTGGCGGCTTCAATCAAAGCAGGTCTTCCTCTTAGACACGGAGAGTTAAAACTGAGAGAAACTTGCAGAAGTATGGCGTGAAACGCTTCACACACCTACACAGCACACAGGCCGTTCGTAGTCCCAGCACTCAGTGGGCAGAGAGCAGGTATACTGTACAAACTGAGCGGATGAATAAAACAGTGTTAGCTGATCTGTCATCTGCTGATGTCTGCGTCGAAATGTCTTTATGCATGTTAAGTATCTCGATTTCCCTGTTTGTGCCAAGTCGCTTGTTTTTTTTCTAAGAATATGGCTTATCGTCTTGCAGCGTTTCATGGAAGTGTGGGAGAAAGATGTCACCTCACTTGTTTCTGAGGCTGGAGAGAATGTCATCAGACGAGAAAAACTCACATACTGCACAGGGATGAACTCAATAGGTGTGCTGTCGGTCGCTTCTAGCTGGTTTGAGAGAGAGCCATATTTGGTTTGCAATCTGAATTATCACGATTAGTTCCTGATAAGCTCTCCTTTGTTTGCTACTGTGTGAAATGTGTGTGGAATAATTGGTGCGTCACGTTTTAAGCAGTTAATTTGTTGCAAAAAGGTATGATATTAAGCAACACAGAGCACTATTAATGATTGTGACCTAAAACCACTTTGGCTGAGATTCACAAACTACCTTTCACTGAGAAAAAAAAGGAAGAAAACTGAATAAATATATAACTCCAATCCATATGTCCATTAATTAGAAAACCTATAGATATCTAATAGAAAGTGACATTATTAATCATCTGAAAATAAGATGGTGTAATATTCAAACTAGTGCTGGGCAATGATTAATCGCGATTAATCGCATCCAAAATAAAAGTTTTGATGTAGATAATAAATGTGTGTGTACTGTGTATATTTATTATGTATATATAAAGACACACACATACAGCATATATTTTGAAAATATTTACATGTATATATTTATTTAATTTATATTATATATAAATATATGTAATATATAAACAACATATTTTTCTTAAATATATACATGCATGTGTGTGTGTGTATATATTTATATATACATAATAAATATACAGAGTAGTACACACACATATATATTATGTACACAAAAACGTTTATTTTGGATGCGATTAATCATTGCCCAGCACTAATTCAAATACGTAATTTACTTGGTAGGACTTTTTTAATGTTTTTAAATAAGTCTCGTATGCTCAAAAATACAATAAAAACAGAAATATTGTGAAAAAATATTGCAAATTACAAAACTTTTTTTTCTGTTTGAATACATTTAATTTTTAAATTTATTTCTGAGATGCAAAGCTGAATTTTCAGCATCATTACTCCTTGGCGTTGATCTCTAACAGACGATCTATGAGAAGTTGGATTAAATCAATTGGTCAGGGGATTAATAGACATCACTCTTTTATTTCAATTAAATAAGGAAAGTCTACACAGGCCCTCAGATCATGTATGTTACAGTGTGAAAATTGATATGTGATGTTATGATAGAGTTGTGTTCTTTTATTTAAGCCCTGTTTTTAATAGAAAAACAAAATATTGATACGCAAATATTGATATAAGTAAAGATGGAAAACATGAACATATAGGCATATATGCAAATAGTGAAAGCGTGTTCGAGTCCAGCTTACGACATTTCCTGTATTTTTCTTTTCTCACAGACAAACGTGGAATAATGCCAACAAAGTGAGCTATTATAATCATAAATATGAAGTTTTCTGGCTTTATGCATTCCTGAAACTATACAACCTTGTAATTAAAAATAAGCACTTGAAATTTAACGCAATTTAATCAAAATGCATAATAAAATTTAATTAAAAAAACCACAATAAAAACAATACAGGATCCTAATGCTGTGTATTTTAGTAATAATTAGAAAAATAACATACAGTTTGATCCATTCAGTTTGATACCTACGATGTACAGTATATTTTTTATATATCCAGCCTCTTTTTTAATAGAAAAACAAACTGTTGATACACATACATTAATAAAAATGCAAAGAAAAAAAAAAGAACTATCAAAAATGAATTAAAAAGCATGCCGGAGTCATGGCCCCTTTTCCAGCCAAAAGTTGTAAAGTGGCGCAAAAAAAAAAAAGAGCTATTAAATATAAATATGATATAAGAATAAAAGTCTTCTGGCTTTATGCAAAATATTTTTATTTTAAAAATTGTTAATAAAATCATTTTATTTATTAAGAACATTTACATAGGAATATATTTACATTATATATGTATGTTATATTTACATTAAATATATATTTACGTATATACATATTGTGTAATTTAATGTAATTAATGTGAATAATGTAAACTTTTCTTATGTGCTAACATAATTAAAACAACAAAAATGTATTAAAAAGCATGCTGGAGTCATGGCCTAGTGATTATTGCATAAGGGCAAAGCAAGTTCGAATCCTGCGTGCAACATTTTCTGTATTATTTCTTCTTTTCTCTCAGAAAAAAAATGGAAATGTGCCAATAAATTGTGCTATTAAATATTCAATCTAAATATAATATATATTTTTATATATGTGTAAAACTATAAAAAACTTTTTCATTAAAATCTGAGATGCAAAGCTGAATTTTCAGCATCATTACTCCAGTCTTCAGTGTCTCATGATCCTTCAGAAATAATTCTAATATGCAGATTTGCTGCTCAAGAAACATTTCTTATTATTATCAATGTTAAAAACAGTTGTGGTGCTTAATATTTTTATGGAAAACATTTTTTTTCAGGATTCTTTGATTAACAGAAAGTTCAAAAGAACATAATGTATTTGAAATATAAATATTTTGTAACATTATAAATATCTTTATTGTCACTTATGATAAATTTGATGCATTCTTGCTGAATAAAAGTATGAATTTTCCTGAAAAAAGGTATGCAATGCAAAAATTGCAAGTTTGGCTGGTTAGAAAAGTAAAAGCGCACCACATTGTAACAAACCACATATTTTGAGGCATCATTTATGTCTGTAACACAAATAAGGTTGGATGAGCTGTTCACAGAATTGTAATATTCACAGGTAGGGGTTTGTTCAACTAACCCTAACTATGAGCAATAGTAGTGTGATGTTCAAGGTTTTGGCTTAGAAAACAAGTTCGAAACACTGTTTTCTATGGGAAAAGTGCTCTGGTCATCAAAGGTTGGGTATCAACAAGACGTTCTATGTTTCTTTATCATTCAGGACTCGCTGATAGAGGTAGACGAGAATGGAACGCTGGATTTAAGTATGAAGAAAAAGAGAGAAAAGGCGAGGGACTGTCCCGTGATGCCGGCGTTAGGAGACGCTCTTTTCATCCCACCTGAAACTTCTCTAGCCAAAGCAGCGGGTCTCCAGATCTCCCCGGCCATCTACCGTGTCCTCTACGAACAGGACGCCTGGGACACGCCGCTGAACTACAGCAAAACACCTGCACAGCAAGACAAAGAGGTGAGACAGAGGCAGATATTTACACTACCATTCAACGGTTTGGCTCGGTGAGATTTTTCTTACAGTCTCTTACGCTCACCGTAGCTGCATTTATTTGATAAAAATACAGTAGAAACAGTAAAATTGTGAAATATTTTTTACAATTTAAAATAACTGTTTTCTATTTGAATGTAATTTAAAATGAGTGCTGTCAAACGATTAATCGCGATTAATCGCATTCAAAATGAACGTTTTTGTTTACGTGTGTATATGTGTGTGTACTGTGTATATTTTTTATGTATATATAAATACACACACATTAATGTATATATTTAAGAAAAATATGTTGTATTTGTATATTAAATACATTTATATATAATATAAATATAAATATATACATGTAAATATTTTCAAAATATATACTGTATGTGTATTTATATATACATAATAAATGTACACAGTACACACACATATACTACATAAGCAAAAACTTTTATTTTGAATGCGATTAATCGTGATTAATTGTTTGACAG